CCCCAAAAACCCAAAACCCCAAAACCCCAAAACCCCAAGAAGAATCATTATTTTATTGGAATTAGTATGGTAATTCTGTAAATTTAACTTCAAATTAAGATATATTATTGGTTTATTAAAGTATTTAAGCATATTTAGATACATATATAAGTATAATTGAATTATAGAATAAAATGGAAAGCTTTTCTACAAATTCTTCAAATGACTCCTAAAGTGAAATTCTCAACCCTGAATTCATAGATACTACTGTTTCAACTAAGGCAAAAACTGTTTTCACTTACAAGCCACCTTAATTGGTAAATTAAAAGTCTGTAAAAGAACTTATCATTCACTCTCATGTCTTCAAGAACATAATTGGTTACTTAAAGCCTTACGAAAAGGTAAAGGTGAGAGCTCTGAACAGAAGAATCTGTTATGAACATGTTTCATGCTTCATGAATGCACTCAACATCAACTAGTATTAAAAAATCTAGATTGAATAACTTGAGGAATTCTTCTAAAGAAGATCCCACACAAATCTTAGAGTCATCCATGTATCCTTTACCAGAGATAATTTGGAATATGCTTCATCGGTACTAGCTAAAACTTTCGAGTTGCTAGGGAATTAAATTGAGGAGGTCCATTTATTTAGTTAGAAAAAAGCAGTTCTTAAGGCGGAACAATGTGAATTAATTGCTGAACAGTTTGCTACACTTGACAATCTCAAACTCTTGTTTCTTGAAGGAAACTTCTAAGATAATATTTTCCGTGGAATCATTAATCACAGAAAGAAGCCATTTGAGTAACTGAAAACTATGATCTAAAAAGGTGAAAACATTAAGAAAGCTACTGCAATTGAATTCTACGATTTATTCCCAAATCTAGAGATATTTGAAACTGAAAGGAGAAATCTTAATGTCTATCCCCATTTCATTAATAGCAAAATCAAGCTTAGAAGCCTCAAAATTACCTTACCAGTTCAATAACTAGTCCCTCATCTTATAAGATACCTTCATTTTGCAGCTGACAGTTTAGAGGAATTAGAAATTGCAAAATTGACTAATGAACCCATTTTCAAAGAATTATTGACCTAGCAAAAATACCCTTTCACAAAGCTTAGAAAGCTTAGAATGCTAAATATGGAAGAAATCGTACTTAAAGATTTCCTCTGGAACAATGATGAAATATTACTGAGCTAATTCGATTTTCAAAGTAATAATTGTACTCCCTATTAGGAGAAAAGTCAATAGTACTATAGAGAGTATCTCAGAAGGATTCAAACAGGTTTCCTAGAGGTATTCCATCATGACATTGTTGGACCCTATGATTATCAAGAACGTAATATTGCAGAAGTTTCCAATGTTATAAGGACTAATATTAGAACTTTAAGGGTATTAAAGTTTTACAATCACTTTATTAATCCAAATGATGCAGATATGATTTAAACTTGGATGGAAGCTATCGACAGTTCAATAAGTAAAATCGAAAGAATCGTTATATTGAACGGATTCTCGCCATTGTAGAAAATTTACCCCTCCCTAGATCTCATTGCAGAAATTGCTAAAAATCAAGGAAGTCAAATCATTATTGAATTTTCGTTCGATCCTGGTCAGGAGATATTAGATAGATATAAGTAAAAGCCATTAACTCTTAGAAAATGCTAGATCCCTCTTGAAGGAAAAGGTTTTGTAGTTTGAGCAAATCAGTATGATTGATATCTGAAAGATTATGAACTAAGTAACTAAGATTATTAAGTCTGAAAGGAGAGATAATAAATGTACAGAGTATATCACTTTATCACTTCGCTCATTCTATTTATAAACATTAAGGCTAAGATACAAATTTCAATATTTAACTAATTAAGTTTTTAATTCCATAAATAAAATCAATTTTACTCAATTATTATACCACTTGGGGTTTTGGGGTTTTGGGGTTTTGGGG